CCGCTGTGCCATTGGGGGTCGAGGTAAAGAATATGAATATTTTGAGTCTTCCAGTTTTAATTTTTTTTTTTTACTAAAAGTACAAAATATAATTAAATATGATATTGATATTTCACTTGATGCTTTGAGTAACAGCTCTAAGTGATCTATTCTATCTGTAGTGACCTAGAGAATTCATTTAAGCGACGCAATATTATTTCAGTTCATATCTGAACAACATAATTTCTTTCTCCTGAAAAAAAAAGTCAAAAGACTTTCAATTCAGAAATTTTCTCCAACTGTGCGTTTCACTTACACTTAGTGTTACTAATTCGATCATATCATTAACATTTGTGTTTTCCGCTCTCTCTCTTGTGTATAATTCTACCGAGTTTTCGTTTTGGAATAGCCTCTACGTTTATCCCTGTATCCTGAGTGCTAATGGTAAGTTTTATCTTTATCGTTAGCGAAGATATGTAATTGATTTTCTAAGAGCATGGGCGTTTTTTTCTTTTCATAAAATATTTCTACGATGACAAGGAACTTTAGAACATTGTTATGCAAATGTACACATAGTTATATATATTATGTTTAGAATTTTTGATGGTTTATGAAAATTATATATTATTCAGACTGAATACTTCTGCTTGTTGTTAAGCGCAAATATACACAAAAGGCTATATGTGATCTTTCCACCGCGGGTATCGAAACCCGATTTTTAGCGTTATAAGCCCTAAAGATTTGAAGATTATCCTAGTATACTTGTTTTTCTTTTAATAAAACGATTCCGTTTTACATTGATAACACAAGTTGACATGCAGATTTTTTTAAGGAAGAAGTAAGACTAGTTGTTTCGAAAATTCGAGGAAAACTAAACAAGAGCAAACTGTGCTAGTCGCCCCTAATTTTAAACCAATAGATTAGGGGGGAATGTAACTACTCAAAAAACACACACCGCCAACTCTTGGGTTTCTCTAATCTTATAAAAGGATCTGACCGTCACTTTAACATCCCACTCACAGTGCCAGAGTGCTAAGTGCGATTCTGTGGTAATGGGACGCTAATCATGAATGTCTCGGATCCAAAGTACCACACATTAATTATTAGGCCATGCTCGGTTCAAGCAATACTGTATTGTCTTGAAGAAAGTAATTTTGGCTCAGAGTTGAAGCTTCAAATGTGATCATTTTTTATGCCCCTAAAGAATTTTTATCGAATGTCTGTTAAATTGCTTGCAAAACTACGTAAACTATTTTGACCTCAAAGTTACTTTCCCAATATATATATTCATTTACTTACTAAACAAACTCCTTATTTGTTAAATATTTTATTAAATGCTATATTATTTTACTAATAGAATGAGTTACTTTGTGATAAATCAATCCATAAGCGTCAAAGTAGCCAATCATAATGATTTTAACGCTTAAGGTTGAACTAGTTTAGGCCCGGCATGGCCAGGTGGTTAAGGCACTCGACTCCCAATTTGAGGGTCGCGGGTTCGAATCCCTGTCACACCCTTTCAGCCGTGGGGGCGTTATAATATGACGGTGAACCCCACTATTCATTGGTAAAGTAGTAGCTCAAGAGTTGGCGGTGGGTGGTGATGACTAGCTGCCTTCCCTCTAGTCTTACACTGCTAAATTAGGGACGGCTAGCGCAGATATCCCTCGTGTAGCTTTGCGCAAAATTCAGAACTAGTTTACCAAGTAATCGAGCTTCCACCTTTTGTAATCTTCAAAGATTTTTAATACTCTTTATTTTTTCTTGTGAGAGTTAATTTTAAAGTAGTTGCTCTCTAATTTCAAATTATTTACGCTTTAACCAATTTCTAAAAGCAATATTTTAACTAATTAGCTAGAGAAAGCTTGAAACCGGCTAAAATATATTACTACATCTCGTGTTACGAGTGTACCGAATCATAAAAAAAAAACAGCAAAAATAAAACACTTTCCATTTTAGTTGTTTAGACAGATGCCTGGCAAGGTTTTCTGTAACACCTGTGGCTCACTATATAGAACAACAATTACCTTAATCAATAGGCAACTTGAGGTGTATCCAGATCGAAAATAACCTTGATGCTGTTTATTATATTAAGCTATATTATATCCCTGAATTTTTTCGTGTTTATATACAATTATTTAAACCTTCACATTAGTAGAGGCTTTAGTTTTCATTATAAAATATGGGTTTGTAATATTTTCAAATGTAAAAAACCTTATCCAAATTGTTATTGATTAATTTATTAATCTTACACAGAGTATATTATTTAATCAACTTCCATTTCTCATTCTTCTAAAAAGACACAATATACATTTCCACTTAACTTTTTTCTTGTATCTCGAGATGTTCTAATAGTAACAAGTGAAGTTGTGACGCCAAAGCTATTTAAATATTTGATTGGCGATAAGTTTGTTATGAATTTCGCGAAAAGCTACACGAGGGCTACCTGCGCTAGCCGCCCCTAATTTAGCAGTGAAAGACTAGAAGGAAGGCAGCTAGTCATCACCACCCACCGCCAACTCTTGAGCTACTCTTTTACCAACTAATAGGGGTATTGGCCGTCACATTATAACGCCCCCACGGCTGAAAGGGCGAGTATGTTTGGTGTAACGGGGATTCGAACCCGCGACCCGCAGAATGCGAGTCGAGCGCCCTAACCAACTGGTCATTCCGGTTCAGCCGATAAGTATAAACGTCATAAACATGCACAAATACGTATATATTTACATATTAAGGTATATTATTTCTCATACAAAAACAATAAAAATGCGTAATTAATTAGCTTATGGCTTAAAGTGAAGTGAAATTGGAATATTTTGTGCCAAGGAAGTCATGTTTATTTTGATTCTTCAAGGCAATAGCTTCTCTGGAAAGTTTTGTCATTTGTTTTCTTGAACGACTTTGAAAAGGAAACGGTGTGATGTCACGATAGCTCGGCGTAATCTAAATGTAAAAAAAAAAAAAAGACAATCATGTAAAAACTAAGAGCTAATTCTTCTCAGAATGTCAACATAAATATTTGAACATGTTCCGTCATAGGACTGGTCACATTATTACTAGAAATATTCTATTCTTGAGTGGGTGTAAGCGCTTTTATTTTTTTACCCCCCCCCTTATAGAACTTGATGTTTTCGTGACTGCCGTATATCACAAAATACTACCCATCCCAAAGGTAGAAAATAGAATCATGAACCCGGAATAACGTGTCGTTATCTGTTATGTTTGATGTTTGTTCTTTAGTTTTTTTTATTTTTGTGCCATGGTTTCTTCTGATAACAAACGAAGTTAGTGAGAATGTGCTTTACAAAAACAATGTAACTAGTAAAGCGGAAGAACTTTGAAAATAGCCATGCATCAATTTTAATATTTTGTTTTATAATTGTGTATAAAAATCGGGTTGTTTTCTACACAATAATAATTAAGAAGTGTGCTCTATAATTATTCATCTAAAATTGATCCCTGATTATGATTTTTAAACAGGTGTTCTTCTAAAACTATGAAATATACTAATCTTTTAATATTATGGCGCAAAACTACGCAAGAACTATCTGATCATAGCATTTCTTAATATTTAGTTGATAGACTAGAGGAAAGGCAGATAGTCAGCATAACCCACCGGCAACTGTTAGGCAACTCTTGTCTAAAGGAAGAGCGAGATTTGTTCTTCAGTCTTATTGCCACAAAGTGCGGAGCGCGTTTTTGCGGCAACGAGAGACGAACCAAGAATCCTCGAGCTCACAGTCTGAGCATGCCACCTCTTAGGCTACGCTGCTCTCAAAGCTCTCATATTATGAGAGTTACTGATCAAAACACTTGCATATCAGTTTCTCAGACATTGTCCTAATAAGGACTTGTAAACTACTAGACCGTAAAATATTCAAAGCTGTTATCTTAATAGCTTGGAGCACCCAATATTTTCCTAAAGTTGTTCTCAATTGTTTTCTATCATAATTATTAGATAGAGCCTATGGAATTTCTTATGAAAATAAGAACATTTAGTAAATACCCCTGAAGGTATATATAAAGCAATTTAGAATAGTATTTTTGTATTTATGACAAGGTTACTGAGGCTATCTGAAACCGTCCCTAATTTTGGAATACTGACCAGAACCTACCACCCTCCATCCACTATCCATGCTAAAAGGTTTACTGTCACTCTTATAACGCACCGACAGCTTGCAGCTTGGCGAATATTTAGTGTTATCTCACGGATGTGAATGCAGCTCCGAAATTCATAGCTCTACCGCAGGGCCAACCCATGCACGCCCTGTTTAGAATAGCAGATAAGCGGTTTCAACCGCAATTATAGCGCTGAGTTCGTAATCTTACCGCTGTCTCACCAGCTGAGTGCTCAAAGGTAGCCGAAGGTTATCAGCGCTAGCCGTCCTTATTGTAGCAGTGATAGACTACTCTTTTATAAATGAAAAGTAGAATAGACTGTCACATTATATTGCCTCCACGGCTGAAAGAGCAAGCGTGTTCGATGATGAGATTCAAACCCGCTAGCCATAGATCTGTATTCGAGTGCCCTAACCACTAGGCCATGCCAGGCCGGTAATGATGCCATCATCACTCGGTATTCTTGGGTGGTCACCCTTCCAAGAACCAATCGGGCATGACACTGGATGTGTTCGGGAATTGGATTTTTTTCAACGTGATACGAACAACGGCTGCCGCATACAAAGGTTGAAAATACAAATAAACATTACAGAAAATAAAGACGTACATTAGGTGTAGTTGAATATGTTCAAGTGGGAGAACTGAGTAAATTTTGGTTCAGTTTCAGTAGTTTTCTTCTATTCAATAGACTTCAAAAAAAGATTTCAGAAGAAAAGTAAAAATAGGAATAATAATTATTTTTTGCGAAATACATTCAACATAACTTTCTGTCCTCTCTTGGTTTGTTGGCACTTTTTTCAGTTATTTTATTTATCCTTCATATAGCAAAACCATCTCCAACAGTGACGTGGTGGAGAAATTCTATTCAAATTGATGATAGTTTCCAGGAAACGCAAGATCACACAGTTCGAAATGATTATATTGTACAAGAACTTTCGCAAGAGGATTTGATGACAGAAATCACGTGTCAGGCTTCCAACACTAACCTTACCTCACCGAAGATCGCTTCTGTGTTCATCGATATGAATTGTGAGTGATTAATACTGTTAATATATACATTTTCTTTGGTGATTCGAAATTTTATCCACCAAGATGGAGTTGATATCATCTGATATATATTTGACATCTAATCTCCAACGTTTATTAGTTTAGACATTTAGTTGGTTAAAGTGAGATATTTTGCTTTCTCTTTAAAAGTTGTTGCTGGACAATGTGAAATTTAAAAAAGTTGTTGCTGGACAATGTGAAATTTAAAAAGGTTGTTGCTGGACAATGTGAAATTTAAAAAGGTTGTTGCTAGACAATGTGAAATTTAAAAAAGTTGTTGCTGGACAATGTGAAATTTAAAAAGGTTGTTGCTAGAAAATGTGAAATTTAAAAAGTTGTTGCTAGACAATGTGAAATGTGGGTTTGAAAAAACAATAGACGTAAAACATGTGATTAAAATCATGCACACTGCAAAATGTTTTCTCACTTTCTTCTTGATTCATCCATTTCGGATTTAAAAGATACATTTCAGATAAACCTTTATCTCCCACTTAACACACTGGCCAGCTGACAAGTTCTTTTATTGAACCAAAGGCTCCCTGAACAATGATTTGTAGGAGACAAAATAGAGATTTGAAATATTATTTTTTTACACATCTCTGACTTGAAATACGAAACGAATAATCCAAAAAAAAACATGAAATTTATGCGATTAAAATCAATAATACACATTTTGTTTAATTCCTTGAAAAGTGTTAAAAGCTTCAAAACTTTAATCAGGGTTTTAAGTTTTTAGAACTTGTCTTCGACTTATAACATAATGTAGATTACAATCAGTTATCTTACCAAATAAATAAACGTAATTTAAGAATTTTAAAGGCGTTACAGGTCATTTTCTAGCAATCTTGAGTTTCCTTCAATTAAGAGGAAAGAGTGATTGAAGAATCTAATTAAGTTTACATCTTTTTTTTTTATTTCCTTCATATCAACGCCTATTTTTAAATATCACATTGTACTGAAATATCCATGAAAACATGATCCAGAGAAGAATAACTTGATCCATACATTTTTATTTCCTCTCACAGAATTCAAAAATAATCCAAATACTCAAAAGTTAATTGGCACTGCGATTAGAAATGTTTACGAATAGTTTAGGTTAGGTGCTTGAGCTGATTTACATTATTTTGAGGAACATGAAGGTTGAACGACCCACATGATTTAGTGTTTTACTTTAGGAACACCTCATCTTATTTATATTGTACATATATTCAGTCTTCTCAGTTTTTACATTTACATCTTTCTTAGACGCTATCAATATATTTTTAAACGTTTCGTTGTTCTCAGAAAACTTTGTGTGCCTGCAGTAGATGGCGCTGTTTTTCCTGGTGTGTAAACTCCACACATTACCGATATATCTTTTACCTATCTTCTTCTGGCATTTTCTTAATATCATTACAGCTAAATTTTCTTCTCTGTAATAGATAAAAAGAAGATTGTGAACTCAAAGCTTGTAATGCTTTTACAATTGAAGTTATTAATTTTATTCACAGTCCATTGACTAAAAAATAGCATTTTTTGCAGTGATCTTTTGAGTTAGTTGATTTTCATTTATAAACATCTCAGGGTGATTTGGGTACAAAATTAATATATCTTTTTTGTATAACGTTTTTACATTTGAAAACGTTACAAATCTATATTTTATATGACGCAGAAAAATAAAGTCTTAGCGAATGTGGAGTTTTAAGCAATTGAATATAAACACGAAAAAGTCAGGGATATACTTTTTCTATTGCTTTTGAGCACACGTAACCATATTGCGCACGGATTGCAATGCCATATACCATGAAATGCATACAGTAAAAAGATAGCTCTACAGAAACACACCTAAAGACTATGTTTAAAAAAGTGTTTCTTCAGTCTATAAACTGCGCTTCTTGTAGCCTAATTTCCCAATAATTTATTATTTATTTTTGTGACTTAGAACTAACTTGGTTCTAAGAAAAGAAAACTGTAAACAGACCATATACACAAGGCTATTACAAAGTTAGTTGGCCTAGTTTCCTGCCCATAATTATAAATTTTATCATTAAAGAGTTACACTATTTAGTAGATGGATGCGGTAAGGCATAATGGAAAAGGTGACTCCAGTGTCAAATATAATTCTACCAGAAGACTCTATAGTGCAATTTGAATACTGGTGACTATACAAAAACAGCACTAAGCATGCTAGGATATATTCTGCTTTTATAAATGACTCCAAGCTCGAATCGATTTTTCCCAATTATTTTTGCCAGACGTTAGTATCCTCTAAACCGTTTATTGCATGTATGTATACTAATCTGCGCCTTGTTTCTTTCCAGGACATTCCGGGCACGGGTCAGGCAATGTTTTCAGCGCCTGGCTCGTTAAAGTGGGTTTTCTCGGGGTGTCCCGTTTCTTCCCACAGCAAAATTACTTTGGGTACAGGATCTATAGATTCCTGCATTGGAAAAGGCCGTTTTCTTAGCTTTATAACATTAATTTGCTATTAATTTTATATTCAAATTGGCCTTAATTATATTAGTTTTAATTTGTAACTTTATGTTTTAACGTTTTAATAACCAATACTTGACAAATCCTCAAAAATATGTTTAGGTCTACCGTGAGCTGGCTCCTGACGTCACAGCTTTGGTTACTTCCTAACACCAAGAAGCATCACAAGCTTTCTTCGATTTTCCTGATACATCTATCATAACTAAAGTTAATGTCACGCGGGCAAATAATCATTTCTCAAATGCTAGTTCAAAACTTATGTTTCTTTCAGGTCTAGCTTTGCTCTTTAATCTCGCCCTCTATTTTAAATGAACTTCGAGAGATTTTAAACTGAAATACCTGCCATGATTGGACTGACTGATTATCGTGGAGTTGTTTTCTCACAAATCATCACAGTCGTGTTAAAAAGACTGATGCAAAGGTAACTTAATATCAACGTGAAAGGGGCATACGGGAAGGATCATGCAGAATGAGACTTATGGAAAGCTGAAAACATTCTTGAACAAAGAGGGTAGCTTTGAACATGTTATCACTCCTACACTTCAGAGAATGGTAGTTTGAATATGTTATCAATCCTACACTTCAGAGAAGAGTAGCTTTGAACATGTTATCATTCCTATACTTCAGAGAAGGGTAGCTTTGAACATGTTATCATCCTATACTTCAGAGAAGGGTAGCTTTGAACATGTTATCATTCCTATACTTCAGAAAATAGTAGTTTTGAACATGTTATCATTCCTACACTTCAGAGAAGGGTAGTTTTGAACATGTTACCATTCCTAAACTTCAGAGAAGAGTAACTTTGAACATGTTATCATTCCTATACTTCAGAGAAGGGTAGCTTTGAACATGTTATCATTCCTATACTTCAGAAAATAGTAGTTTTGAACATGTTATCATTCCTACACTTCAGAAAAGGGTAGTTTTGGACGAAACCATCCTTATGCAAGATGAGGCTCATTTACTCATTGCACGAATGTTAAGTCATTGGTGGGACATACTACCAGGGAATGAGGAATCACCGGATATTTTCCACACACTTTATCAACCCGGTCTCCGGATCTTATTCTCGTTGATTTTTGGCTACGAGGCCATATCAGGTATTTGGTTTACCGTGTCTAGTCTGCTAACTTAACAGACTTGAAATATATTATACGACACCAAGTTAAGTGTAACTGTTGGAAATCAGACAATAGCAGTTAGCTATGTATCACTGTGTCCCACGAATGAACGAAACTAGACACGAATGGCAGTCACACTGAAAATTGTTAGCACGTTGGCTGTGAGAATTTCGTGATCATTAATTAGTTCACCTGCCAAATATGACAGCTTTCCATTGATTAGTTTCGAACAATGGTGTCCGAATAGGCCAATGAAGCTTATTATAACACTAATTTTATATACCTATATTTCTTTGGTGATTTTTAAAATTAATATGCACTTATTAGTGATAATAAGTAGGGAAACAACGATTTATAAGTATAATGAAATAATATATTTATACTGGAATATAATACATGTTTCGACAGAACGTTGGTCTGTTTTGCCTTCTTATGATTATATCAGTAAATGTGCTTCCTTTCTAAAGTGCTTATTAGCGATTTTAAGTTTCATTTCTTTCCCGACAGCATTATAGAGTATTTGGATTTTTTTACTAGATCGTATTTTTATTAGAACAACCGTTACTTTTTTATATGCTCTTAGGCTTTAGGATGATAAAGAGGATGACGGAACTCCCTAGGACTTGTAATTGAATGAGATGATATATTGCATAAATGAGGTATTAATTTCTAAAAGTGATTCGAGCTATATTTTATATTAGACTAGGTTTATAAATGAAAAAGCATTTTTGCTGAAGGCTTCAGCAAAAGTTTCAAAATCTTCTGACTTTCGGTATGCCTACTTTTCGAACATAACTACTAACTTTCTTGTGATAGATTACTCTTTCTATAGTGTGTGTGAATCTCCTCCCTACGGGCCTGACGTAATAACACATCAGTCTGTCAGAAACACTGAAAAATAGCAATAGATAAGATCCTTAACACTTACTGTTGCAATGAAAGTTTAGAGAAACCTATATTTTAACACCTGATCCTATAATCTTAAGCATTCGTTTACAGCTGAATAAGGCGGTTTTAGCCATGACTTCAGGCTGACGATTAATGGTAGTTTTTTCATGTTTCTCACATAGTAACTATATTGATGATATTTAGCTTTTTTTTTTTTCTTCTGGTGACACTGATCACATGCCTTAGTTGCTCAGTACATTCAGTAAGCACAATAGGAGGTAAGCAGAATAGCTCAGTACATTCAGTAAGCACAATAGGAGGTAAGCAGAATAGGATTTGTATAAATCATCCAAGTCACTCTCTTCCCAGTTTTCTTCATATAAGTAATAAAAACGTAACCATAAAAAACATTCAGGTTTACGTTTCAGTTTTTATGGTTTTTCTTTTACTTGTACTTTTTTAACCTCCTTTCTTAAGATTGTAGTACTTAGTAATAATAAAATCTCAAGTAAGCAGTGCTTATTTAATAAAACTTGAAAATATTAGAATTGTTAGAAAAAACAGATTTCCCTGTCTCGAGCCGCCTTTGGTAGCGGCAAGTATAATTCTTCAGAACTTTCATTCATTGTATTACTTTTCATATACTTAGAGTCTGATGACTTAAGATGTTGACATTTATAATGTATTTTGAAAATACTGAGATTTATAGACAAAATTCCATCATTGAAACATTAGAAACTTGTTCAATGATTCTTTGCGGGGGGGATAAGCCTCATGTACCACAAGTTGGCTTCTTATTGTCACAAAAAAAACCAAAATTGCTGAATGACAACGAGAGTACTAGAAAATTGGTGAAGGATGTATGTCTAAGAGCAATAGTCAATGTGTTGTTTATATAAAAGAGTCTTTGTTTAAAAGCAAACTCGAGTCACAAATAACTGAAGCAATTCAGCTATAAGGTTATAGGAAATATCAATAAATACGACTGCTATTTTTTCCAAACCATTAAGTATAATCAAACGTTTTTTTAGATAAAAGATAATCTGTAAAGTTATAATAGTCCTTTGGAGGGTTGCACGAAATACACCTTAAGTGTTAATCAAAATTACATCAATGTAAACTGCAGAGTTATCATTTTATGTTATAGATCTTTTGTTATAACATGAATCACCAATAACATTGCAGTGAAACCAGTGAATGTACGTCTCATTTCAACCCGCCGCCATTTTTCTGCTGGTCGTCAATTCGGAGTCGAGTGTCAAACAACGGGGTCACGTCCTCCTGCACATATCACCTGGTGGTTAGGAACTCGGAAGATGGAAGGTGCTATGGACACGGTGAGGGATGGTGGAAATCGAACCGTCAGCAACCTCGTCTTTACGCCCTCTAGCGACGACAATGGAAAATATTTGTCCTGTCGGGCGGAAAACCCCAAGATGCCAGGAATTTCAAAAACTGACGGATTGACCTTAAATGTATATTGTAGGTTGAAACATAAATTGCCTAGTGTTAACCAATACTCCTAACATAGCATATCTTCAAACTTACATATACATATATCTTTGTGTCTTTTTCATTAAAAATATGATTTGAAATCGGCAACATACAGGTCAAAAATGTTTAGAATATTTCAGTTTAATTTAGTTTTATACAAAAGAATAATACACACGCACACACACATAGATATGTAAGTAGTTGAAATCGAGATCAAATTAGATGACTTAACTATCTAAAACACATTTTTTACCGAGACTTTTCCTTATGTTACTGTTAAGAAATTAATTTCTCTTTGCTACTATTGATAATAGTGTTGAACGTATATGTTATGGCCCTGTAAAAATATAATTAAGTTCTATGTACATTTTTGTCCTTCTCCATTTATTGATTGCCTTTTAGAGATGTTTGCCTTTCTCTGATTTATATTATTTTTCTTTCTTAAGTAAAAGCTTGTCTAAGAAGATGTATCTTGTTGTTGGTTGAGGAAACTTTAATATAATTTACAAGTACATTACAGTAACACAGTAATTAAAAATAAAGGAATGTTAGCTCCACTATCTCTCTCTTTATGATATGTTAAATAACATAAATATATTTCAGAACTATGAAGCCAAAAAATGATTTATTGTGGATATTATTGCTACTTTAAAACTACAAACAATGAGACGGTACTCATTAAACGTAGATTAGTTTTATAAGTACGTCTAAAAGCTTAATTTAAACATTTGAACTCTTTATAATGACCATGGTTTTTAAAACGTAAGCACTGAGATTAGTTAATGCAAAAATCATGCTTGCCAGTCTTAAAAAAGTTGATTTTTTTCTCAGTAATGAACATGTCTTAGGTAAAAATGTTTATTAATTAAATCTCTTTTCAAGTTCGAATTAGCAATAAACTTAAAAAATGAAAAATTATTAGTCCAGAAAAATGAGGTGAAGCCTGAGTGAAAAAAAACAACGAATATTTTATTAATTTTTTTTAACATTATTTGTAAACTTCGTAAGAGATTTAATATGTAGATAAATATACAATTCAAGCTGTCAATACATCTGGTGATTAGAATTACCAAAATTTACCAGTATTATTCACCTATTTATGTCCCGCAGTATGACAGCGTTAAGTTTATGGACTTACAACGCCAAATTCCGTGGTTCTATTCCTCGCGGTTGACACAGCAGATAGCCCAATGTGGCTCTGCTCTAAGACAAACAATCTAGTTATATCCATATATCTATCTGTCTATCCATATATATTCCATTTTTGTAGCCATAGAAAAGACGAGCTTCTCCCTTGTTATATTTTATATTTTGAGACGGATGAAAGGGTACAAAAACAGAAACTACGCCCACTTCAAAAACCAGTGCTAAAGGAAACGCTAGCCAAACTAAACGTTATTTATCGAATATTCATTATATATTTTGTAAAAATACGAAACTCTGTAATCAGGGTGCTTTCGAAAGATCGGTCTTTTTACATCAGGGGCAGCCTGATGAAGAAAAGTCAACCTTTCGAAAACGCTCGGATTACAAGTTATCGTATTTTTTGTCTTTACCCGCAGTAGATTAGCTGTAAGTCTGCAGGCTTACGACGTTAAAAACGTTGGTTTCGATAGCCGTGGTGGGCGGAGAACAGATAGCACATTGTGTAGTTTTGTTTGTTTGTTTTATATCAAAGCCATATTGAGCTATCTACTGTGTCAATCGCGTGAATCGAACCATGGATTCTAGCGTTTTAAGCCCATAAATTTAAAGCTGTCCCACTGGAGGACGTGTAGCTTTGTGCTTGACAACAGTCAAAGCAAACCGAATTTTTGTCTTTAATTGATTTTGAACCTACGTATTTTTCTAACAACACGAATGTTGTTTCTTCTAGATCCACCTATGATGTTCGTATTCCTGGCTCCTAATCAAGTGTTGTTTCTTCTAGATCCACCTATGATGTTCGTATTCCTGGCTCCTAATCAAGTGTTGTTTCTTCTAGATCCACCTATGATGTTCGTATTCCTGGCTCCTAATCAAGTGTTGTTTCTTCTAGATCCACCTATGATGTTCGTATTCCTGGCTCCTAATCAAGTGCCTGACAAATTGTACGAAGGAGAGAATATTTACTTAGAGTGTAAGTTCCAGTCAAACCCAAAGATCACAAAGATGGAGTGGCAGTTCAAAGGAAGTACGTTACTAACCAATACTCGAGCTGGAGTTTTTGTTCACAACCAATCACTTGTCTTGGAAAATGTAAAAAGAGAACAAAGCGGTATCTACCGGTGTCTAGCCGATAACATAGAAGGTAGAGGAGAAAGTGAGGGGCTGGAGCTTAAAATCAAGTGTAAGTTTTCTTTGTTTTGTAATGATATGCAAATGTAAAAGCTCCTTATTCAATCAAAAAATTATTTCCTCGTCTTTTTTAGCCCATTGTATAGTTTTCCGTGAAAAAGTCAATAACCACAAATCGTTTTTTTTAGTCACCATTGAATACAAAAGCAAAACTATCATGAAATAAATAGCCTGAGGTGTGTTAACTATATGGTGATACGTTATACAGTAATAACAAACATATTTCGGCCATTATAAAAACACTCGTCTAGTTAGGCTATTATATGAATCAAAGAAAAAAAAATTAACAACATGAAGAGAATGTTTGGATATGCGAAACCATCACTGATCATCAATATACTCTGGTCCCCCTTCCCCAGAAAAGAGCGTTGGACATATTTGTGGTAAACATATGATGTTTGTATATTTTAATACACGCATTAGGCGATTTATGCTGTTGTAAAAGTCAAAGGTCAAATTAAAACTCAAGTTTTCATTCGTGACGTCATTATACTTATATAAAGAGCATTTGTTATCATCTTTTTACATTCCAGACGCCCCTGTTTGTAAAGAAGGTCAGAAGATAGCCTATGCTGTCACTTTAGATGAACTCGTTGAAATATCTTGCGAAGTTGAGGCTGACCCTGATGACGTCACTTTTACTTGGACTGTCAATAATACTGTGGAAAATCGGGAAGTCTTGTCCTACGAGAGTGCTGGGTTGAAGAGTGTGGCCCGATACATACCACGAGATGAGAACGATTTTGGCTTCCTGACGTGCAAGGCACAGAATGTGGTCGGGGTTCAGAAAGAAGCTTGTATTTTTACCTTATTATCTGTTCGTAAGTTACAGTATTTTCCAGAAAATACTGACACCTCACTTGTTCCCTTGTTTATTTAATCGTATCTTAGAAATGTATAGATTTATAGCATATTAATTTATTAAATAAATGTAGACGTTACAAATAACACAACAAAGGTTTGTTTTATAACTTATGCTCGTTAGAAAATTAAATGTTGTGTTTTATATGCTATTTTTTTACATTTGAGTTGATTAGAAAGTTAGAAACGTAAGCTAAAAAGCAAACTTTTATCTTAAATAGTCTTACAAACCAGCCAAACTGTCAAGAAATTTGGGTACTTGTAAAGCTAGTTCAGTACAAGTAATAAGGCATTTTTTGAGATCCACCGGGACACAATTTTTTACTCCTTCATAAACATTCATAAAGTAATATCGGAAAGATTTTGACGATAATTTATTTCTCCCAGTGGCACAGCGGGATGTCTGCGGACTCACAACGCTAGGAACCGGGTTTCGATACCCGTGGTGGGCAGAGTATAGATAGCCCATTGTGTAGCTTTGTGCTTAACTTCAAAACAACGAAACAAACGATAATTTATGATACTGTAAAACGGTGTTGGAAATTATCGTTGTATTTTTCACAACAACACAAATTAACGCAGGTTGTTGTGAATTATAAAATATTTGATTATTGTAGCGATATAGACACACAAGTTTTGTGTTTTCTAACAACACAAATGACGTGCGGTTTTTCGTTCATTTTAAAATTGTATCTAGCAAATACATTATTGTGTTCTGAAGTAACAATTGTATTGTGTATAAAAATTGTATAAAGATTAACACAAAGATTGTGCGTCAGCCAACATACCTGTGTTCTGGTGTGAACGCCTATTCTAAGCTGGGGAAGCATACTTATACTCGTCATAAGACATAAGTAGTAGGCCTGTTTTATATTTAACACTACGTTATTTATTCACTTTCTTAGAGTAATATAAGATGAAGAAGTTGGGCATATAATAGTATTTCAACCACAACATGTCCTCCATATCCATTGCCGACGGCACATTTCGCTCAATACAGAGCCGGTCTGATATTTTTCACGTTGAGTTCACATGAATCAAAATTAGTTACCTGAGTGCTAGAACTACAGTGGCACTCGTGAACCAAAATTAAATCGCGCCGATTAGGAACAAAAAATTTACGGACAAAAACGAATTTTCTCTCACTGTTCTCAGCTTTAAGTGAGTCAAGGAAAAAGTCACATAATACTATATAATATTGATTTTTTTCAGCAGTATATAGATGGATTAGGCTTACACTATTCTCCTTCTGCAATATCTAATTGTCCTGTATATATGTATATAGATATTTGATTTACAGGAGAACGAAGTATCCGGGTGAGAAATTTATCCATTATATAGATTACTGTTATTATCGCCATACATATGAGTAAAATCATAGGTACTTTAAATGATTAACGTAGTAGCTTATTGTAATTTACGTAAAGTGCACGTTCTAGAATTATCAAGTTCTTTCTGTAAACGATGCCTATCAAATCGGGCGAAATTCACGAAACGCACCATATTATGTCTGGTGCAAACCTCAGTGTTTATTGGGGGAAAAAGATAAAAAAAGAAAGAAGAAGAAGAAGAAATTAAATGCTTTATTTATTTTTATGAGAACTTGGAATAAAATAAGTAAGTTACTCTGTAGAAACAATGTCAAAGAAGACAATTCGATGACAAACATTATTTCTCTTTAGTTGTTTTAAACTATGGTTAAATTTCACATTTTCCAAACGTTGTTTCAAAGTATCATGCTTTAAGGCTTCAGATAATTCTCGCATTAAAAACAGTAGAAGAATAATTTCTAACGATCAAGTTTTAGTTTCAACAACTCTGAATTTCCGGAAGAAAGTTCAATGTTTATATATTAGATTTTTTTTTCGTGTCATTCAGTGAGTAGGCGATAAGTTTACGGACTTACAATGCTAAGATTCGGAACTTGCCTTCCCGCGGTGGGAGGATTGAAGATAGCCCATTGTGTAAGTTTGTGCTAAGAAACAACAACAAATAATAACCCGTACCTCTATAGATACCTTCATCTACACCAAACTCGATGATATACAACATTATTTATAAAATATGATTTTTTTTTTGTGAAATATGGTGCTCATATTATTTCATAAACTTATGTTAAAATGCCGATTAACAATAATTGAGAAACTCAAATTATCTTTATGGTATGAAATCTATTATCTAATTAAATTATATCCACTTTAAATAATTTTTTAAATACTCAAAAAGTATAGTTGTTAACATATTAGTGTTCACTATACGAGTCACGAGTTTTAAAATTCAAGAGAAGCCATCAGATTTCAAAAAGGTGAAACATTAAACTTTTAATGAAATACGATCTTTTAAAGTTTATAAGTAGAATCCATTCAGAAGTCTTAAAATATTTCATATAAATTCAGTTTGAAATGTCAAATGGTTGCAAATAAAATTTTCAGGCAAAGGTCTCATACTAAACTCTGCAAAAGTTCATATGATATTATTGATTTTTAAATTGTGTAGGCACTGTCACACACACATATATTAGATTTACTGTTCTTTTTAATCTGATTTTTGTGTCATATTGAAAGCTTAGATTGAATTAACTAAAGCATATTAATCTCTTATTTTTCCAGTAAACTTTGAAAAGAATAAAAATTAGATGGAATGAAGATGTGTTATGTAGAATGATATTCATTGATTGAGAGAGGATAGAACCAAAGCTATAAAGTACAACATTAATTTTTTACTTGGAGAAACATGGATTCAGAAGGAGAAGGCTTGGAACTTTATAAAAGTCACTTGTGTGTCTGTGAAACAGCCTTTTAAAATAAAAATATTTGTTCTTCAGTTGTACCAAATTATATCGTTAAAATGAATATTGCTAGGTTTAGAAACCAGTATTTTTGTGTAGTTTATAAACCTCAATGTAATCAAACTGCTGAACACATTTTTTTTTTTACCAAATATCGTCCTTATTTAGTCTTATTAAGTTTGGTATTAACTACAAATTTGACTACCTCGTGAGATAATAGGAAGGATTTATGTACACCTTATACAAACCAAACTAGGTTGTATTCAGGCCTGCATACACGCTGGACAGAGTTTCTTAACCCTAACTTAACTCTTTAATTGCGTTTTTTGTAAACCACCAGATGATTTTACATTATACAAAGAGGACAGAAATAAATTGGTATAAGACTAAGTTTCTAAATGTTAAAACTGTCCTTACGAACGAATGCTACCTATATCTTTAGGTTATTGCCAGAGCCCAGACAACGGGAAATGTCCTATTATATTTAACATGTTACTTAAATTACCAAGCGTCAACGGCATTAGAGGCTGTAACTTAGTTTATTCATATATTCACCATTGCAGCCATTTTTTAACTATGGCGTATTTACAGTTTATAAGGTAAATTAGAAGGTTTATGCAACTGGGGCATCCCATTGCTAGTAACTGATGCTCATCAAGTAGATTGGACATTATAAAACCGTATCACTCGAAAATAGAAAACACCAAATATACAGCCTACCAATAAGTAAATAGATCCACCCCAAGAATAGCATTTCACCATCTCAGTGACGTCACATGCAAATAACTCCGACGTATAAATACAGATATAGTTCGGTAAAAACCAGTAATGCAAACGGACACACTACAAACGAAAGGATCCTGAGAATTAGTTGTATCTCCTGTTGCAGGATATGTACAAGTGTGATCCATTACTATCAGAAGTTAGCTTTTAAGCATAGGCCACAGTGACATAGGAAGACAACGGTTTCTACATGGCCCGGGTTCCCAAACCAACAGAAAAGACACTTCGTTCTGTGAGAAATAGTGTGGAGAACGACCCATGTCAAATAGCTGTTACTGTTACAAAATAATGAAAGTATGACCCATTACCACCAGACCAGCTTACCAGACATATCAGTGCTTTCATGCAAGATGGAGCTTCTGCTCTTTCAGTCCGTGTCACAAAATGATGTATTGTAGGAGGGCACTACTACTACCTTTTCGTGGCTAGGCCAATCGACGAATACGAATTTTATGGAACACTTGTGGTTAATGACTGACTGTTCCCTGCAAACAGCTTTTAGGGACACTCTCATCCAAGTTCTTCACCACCAGTGGGATGCAACCTCATAGGCCAACATTTCATATCTTGTAAATACGATGTAAAACTGTTTCTGCATTAAAGATTGCAAAGTGTAGATCTACTCAGTATCAATGGCAAACTTGTACGCGTTTAATGTTTATTCATTTGATAAAACTGCATTTTTTTCTGGAGTGGTTAGAGGTCTATTTACTTGTTGGTAGGCTGTGTAGAGCTGATAACATTTATCGTGCTTGATTTCTTTTAAGGCTTATGCATATACGTACAATACAGAATGTTCTGAGTAGTAACGCAAGTATGGATTTGCCACTTCTGTTAGGCTTAAAAACCAAGATGATTTACTAGTTTAAGCATTTTACATCACTTCGTTGAAATACAAAGTAATCGTTGGCTTTGCAGAAACAAAATTACTTGATAGAATGCTGCATCGCGATTAGATTATTATATTTTTCTCATATGAAATTCTTAATATTTGTTTCAATCGTTAGCTTATTTACGCAAGCCTTCTCATATATCAAAAATAAACCTTGCTAAGGACCTCACTTCATCTTAATTTCTTCTCATTACAGGAGCACCAGAACAAGTTCACAATTGCACTATTTCTAACTACAGTAGTGATACTTTGAATGTGGAGTGTCGACCTGGAGAAGACGGTGGTCTGGAACAGCGATTTTACCTGGAGGCCTATCTGGTTGAGAACAAGGAACTTCAAGCTAATGTTAGCAGAATCACTGAACCAGTTTTTAAGCTTTCTGGACTCGCACCTGGAAAATCCTTTGTTTTACTCGTTTATTCTTTTAATGCTAAGGGTAAGAGTCCTGCCGTTACCATAACTGCCCAAACCCAGATCTCTGCTAGATGGCATTTAGGTAAGTTTGTGGATATACCTATGTACGTATATACTTTTATTATAATAATAATAATAATCCAAATAAAGTAATAAACAATCAGGACACACATATGTACTAAGTTTGTGGATATACCTATGTACGTATATACTTTTTTATTATTATAATAATAATAATCCAAATAAAGTAATAAACAATCGGGACACACATATGTACAATTATATAGTCATATAATTATATATATCATGCAGAGCTGGTTCTAGCGGATAGACGTGGGATGTAAAGGCCTAGGATGAAGAAATCAAACGTATTGTACTGATTTTATTTTCAATAATATTGACTATCTCGCGCTATCATTAATTCTTTCATTGTGTCCTACCGACTTGGAAACTGTGCTATAAGATAATTAATTAAAATTTAAAGCAATCTCTTCTTTACTAAAATCAATAAATTAGGCCGTAAATATGGACTTCACTTCATTGCAGGTAAATAAAGATGAATAACATGAAACTCTTCCAATCAAAGTCCTAAATATAAATTGTTAAAATAAAAGTTTACAAGAAATTGCAACAATCCGTTCATGTAGTAAGGTAGCAAAGTGTATAAATTAAGCTGACCCTGATAACATGTAAGAACAACTGTGCACCTCAAACGTTTTATGAAATTGACACACTGCAGTGGAACGATAAACTGAAATAAGACTTACCATTTTAATCTGTCAAAGTAGCAGACGTGTATTTACTCTGTTTCATATTATATATCGGAAAGAGCTGTGTTTTAATTCTTAAGCGACTTTTAATATCAACTACAATGTTTTTGCATTTAGTTTTTTTTTATCGAACTCAACAAGTACTACTCACGTGCTTAAACTTTCGGGCTTATCGTCAGTTCGTTTCGCTTTGGTACGTGCATCTGAATCCTGGAATTTGTTGTCGAACAAAAGTCATGACAGATCCTTTGTCCTTATAGTTCTTTTTAAAGTGTTACGTTTGTTGCCTCGTCTCGTTCTGGAATTCGGAACTTGTCTCGGCCTGTCACGTCGCTACACGAGCATGTAGAATACTTGGACAGTTGTGCATTTTTTGGTAAATAACATTTTCAGTCGAAACCAATCGATGGGGGTTTATGAGCAAGTTAGGATAACTTGAAGGTAATGATAAAAAATATTACCTTCGTCATTAAGCAAAGTGCATGAGTTCTCTATTAGATGGTCTCAAGTACAATGTGAGAAAATAAAAGCCAGGGTCATAGTAAATATCATTTGCTACTAATGGCACAAAGTGTTCCATTTCATTATTTGGTAAAAAATATGCACCGTGGACTTTGAATTTTTTACAACTTATAGTTATGGAATGTTATTAGTTTTGAATTAGGCGTTAATTTTCAGAAAAAAATATTTTAGTAATTAATTCTCTGGAGAAAGGTAGTTTCGAAGACGTTTCGTTTTTGAAATATTTTAATTTTGATAAGACTTTTAATGATTTTGCTGTAGATGCTAATATTAACTTTGTGCTTGAGGAAGTTACATGTTACTAAATCCTTATTAGTAATGCAGCTGTGTTTTTTCCTGCTTTCATTTTATGTCCCCTGACGACTCGGTGGTAAGCATGATGAATTATAATTATAATCTAGAGGTTCAAGCCCCCATTCTAGACACATCGCAGATAACCAACTTTTTATGCTAAGTAACAAACCCCGATTTTAAGAAAACTCTCTTTGACTTAAAATATTCATATAGTATTAAAACCAAACGCGTTAGATTTATCTTCTTTTACATTCCTGTTGAAAATTGTTCACAGATTGTTTTTCAATCTGGTTAGGTTTCTGTTTTTAACGAAGTTCTTTCTCGCAAAGAAACCGGTATCTAATATAATTACTTCCAAGTCTATGAGCATCAAGCTTGATATTTTCAAAATAAAAACTTTTATTTTTTAGCGAAGATGTAAGGCTTTCAATGTCTGAACCAGTATCAGTTGAATATTTAATGTGAAAGTCAGTTTTATCCTCTTACGTTGATTTTTCCTGAAATTGTTTGGGATAATGTTAATCTAATTTTCTTAAATGTATATGGTTTTTTCTTTTTTTTACACTGACTGGGCGTTAAGTTCGTCGTATATTTTTACAGGTATAGTGTTTTATAGCTAGTGTGCAAATGTCCATTTTTGTAAGAAAATACGGAAATAGTCAAAGTGTGTTAACTTTTTAACGAAGGTTTGCTTATTTGGACCACTGCAGAGAAATGTTCCATCAGCAAGTTGGCTGCTTTGTCGAAAAACTTCTGTACATGGGGAAAATGTCTGAATAAAACTAATAACGTTAAAATTCTTGATTAATTACATTTTTTTTTCAATTTTCGGAAAGCGGGTTAAGTCACCACATCAGTATAGGACAAATTAAACATTTTCTGAGCTCTTTTAACGGTAAACAAGTTTTTGCTGTTGTTTGTTTGGGATAATATATATATATATTTATATTTTTCTACTGGAAATCTAAGCTATCTCTTATCAAAGAAGACAATTTGCTAGTGACTGGATAACTCGCGTGACGAACTCTTAACATTCTTTCAGTGGCAGCTAATTTCTGAACACGCGGGTAATATATTATACGTAATTTTGCCAAATCACAGTCTATACCGATGCTATTATGATTCAATTGGAATTTATTACTTTAAAGTAATTATATTTCCTGTATGTAAAAACCTTTTTTTTTTTCGAACACCAAAAAAGATTCAATACATACATTCTTTATAAATCCGACACGGGTATTTTGCATTTTGAAGTTCGAGAGATCTCCCACTCATATAGGTGGGGAAAATATTTTCACTCATTTTTTTTTTATCTTCATTGCTGTACTAAGTAATCATCATGTCAGAAGCATAAAGAGCAGTCTTTCTGCCAACAGACTACCCAACCACTCTGAAGCCTCATCTAGGAATATTGGTGGGAGTTGTGACAGCTTTAGTTCTTCTTGCTATCATTATTGTATTATTGATTCGGATGAAAGGAGAGAGAGAAGAAAGCGAGAAAGGTAAGAATAACCAACTTTTGATGTAGCATTCCTTTGTTAAGTAACAAGCACAAAGAAGTTAACCTCACTGAGTCAGAGGTAATAGATTGCATTATGCTATTTCCTAATGGTGTTAAACTTAAGTTCATCTGGTTTGCAAGAAATAATGACTCAAAGTTCAACTTAAATTTATTTCCACGCTCTTGTTTTATCCTGAAGTTGGCCACAAATTAAATTTTTAGTTCAATCAAGGTCACGGGTTCGAATCCCCGTCGAGCCAAACATGCTCGCCCTTTCAGCCGTGGGGGCGTTATAAAGTGCGGGTTAATCCCACTATTCGTTGGTAAAAGAGTAGCCCAAGAGTTGGCGGTGGGTGGTGATGACTAGCTGCCTTTCCTCTAGTCTTTCACTGCTAAATTAGGGACGATTAGCCTAGATAGTCCTCGTGTAGCTTTGCGCGAAAACCAAAACCAAGTTCAATCATAATTATTTACGATCCTCGCTTCCATATCGCAAGGTAAACGCGTAGCCAACGATTTTTCAAATCTAGTTACGCCATCTGTTTAACTTGATCTTGTTTTATTTTATTGGTTACAATTTACATTTTCTACTTAAATGATTGAAAATCGGGGATAACTCAGTTGTTTGTTTCACAGATAAAATTTCGGAATTAGTTAAATTAATCAAATTACACGCGTGTCACAGATGAACAGCTTAGGTAGATCAGAAAGACTGACCAAACAATAGTTTATAGTGAAAAATGTGTTCATGCTTTATTGAGGAAATCTAGTAACTCTTTTAATATAAAACGAAATGAACCGAATAAAGATGAGGCAAATTTTATGGTGAAAATAAAGTTAATTTGTTCATTGTGTTTGTTTGTTTGTAGTTAAGCACAAAGCTGCACAAAGGGCTATCTGTGCTCTGCCCACCACGGGTATCTGTTCATTGTGAACAGGACGAATGAAATAAGTTATAAAGATGTAATAACGAAATGTATTAAGATGAAATATAAGAAATACATTTACTCGAACAAACGTAACAACCATAGAAATAAGGAAGAAAGGACCGGTTGTAGGATGCCCATGGGAATAATATAGTTTGTGAAGAGTCAACAGTGGGAGTAGAACAGCTCGAACAGGTTCCACCGTGGGAGTAAAACGGCTAGGACAAACACAATAGTTAGAGTAGAAAAGATTGCGTAGGCTTAACAATGATAATAAAATAACTCGTGGATATTCAACAGTAGTGGAAAAACGTTTTATCAGGTTGAGTAACGTGAATGAAGCAGCAGAAGGTGATAAGTTTCTAGATAAAGGAACTTGTATTGGAATTTTCGCGAAACGCTTCACAACGGGCTATTTGTACGTAGTCGTTACTAATTATAAACCTACCAATAAGTTTCTTTGTTTGTTTTGAATTTCGTGCAAAGCTACACGAGGGCTAGCTGCGCTACTCGTCCCTAATTTAGCAGTGAAAGACTAGAGGAAAGGCAGCTAGTCATCACCACCCACCGCCAACTCTTGGGTTACTCTTTTACCCACGAATAGTGGGATTGACTTTTACCTTATAACGTCCCCACGGCTGAAAGGGCGAGCATATTTGGTGGGACGGGACGAGAGAGAAGGAAGTTAATCAATAGCACCCACTATCAACTCTTGAGCTACTCTTGTCTGATCAAATAGTGGGATTTCTCCGTCACTATTATAGCACTCTGAATACTCCAAAGTGCGGAGCGCGTTTTTGCAGTAACTGGACGTTTACTCTAAATAAGGAAGCTGTGAAATATGCAGCGATGTTACTACTAAGCAGACTCAAAAAATAAAGCACGACACATGAGAATGTTAAGTGAGGCATGGTTTGATTAAAACGATTCCATATTACCCCCTTTTAATGAGTTTTTCCTATAGTATTCACACTTGCACGTTAATGAGATATTTTATTTAAAAAACTGTCGTTTTTATGTCCGGATAATATCATAAAAAGTTGAAAACATATTTCTAATAAACCGTTAAACTTATTTTTAACTTGTAAGTAAACCTAACAACGCAGATGGTTTAGACTGGTCAAGTTATAGACATGTATCGGATTGGGATATAATGTGTATTTTGCAAATATAGTATATGTACATCTTTAAATAATTTACGTTGAGTAACCAGTATGATATTCATCTGACAAATGGTTGACTATTAGGATACGGAACTTTTAATATTATGCGAACATTTCATTGTAACTGATTTTTTAGGCAATTTTATTATATGAGTAAAAGAAAATATTACAACCTTAAGAAAGTGGCTGAACATACAATATTTTCGAACCCAATTAATCAGCGTTAAGTCTGAAGGCTCACAACGCTAAAAACCTAGTTTCGATACCCGTGATGGACACAGAAAACATAGCCTATTGTGAAGCTTTGTGTTTAACAACAAACAAGAAACAAATACAGTATTTTTAATATTTTACTTATCTACAATACTGCAAAGATTTGTATGTTGGCTAAAAAAAAGCGAAAAAAGCAATCTATATACTAAAACTCTGAGATTGTTTGTTTGTTTGTTTGCTTGTCTGTAATTAAGTACAGCAAAAACGGCACACAGTAGCACCATATTTGTAATGAAATGAGAA